AGGGGTGGGAGGATAGAATCTCGATTCCATAGGTGGATGAGACTTGAATCTATTTCGGTCAAACCACGATTCTCAAAAACTTGGAATCTCGTTCCTAACGATTCCTATTGTACCGACAATGATTCCTAAGACAAGAATCTTCTAGCCGACCGCCATTCCATTTCCTAAAACGATTCGGGTTCCCAGGCGTTTCCAACAACTATGATTAAGACTTTAGGAAGACAAAATAAGACAAAAACAACAACAAATACAACTAAATAAATAGGAGAAGACTTACTGACTTTACCTAGAATTACCCTCCAGGGCCTAGCACTGAATCCACTAATATGAAACTAAGAAGCACCTCCAGGACTTTCTTATTGAAACTTGTGGGGCAAGAGCGCTAGGGTCACAATTAGGGTTTCACTAGGAACCCTTTTTCTACCTTGGGGCATGCCACAACTAGCACCTCCCCTTAAACTAAGAGGGCTGAGCACTCTTTTTCTCTCTCTTTAACATTGAGCATACCACCCTAGACACTTATGGATGGTGGCATGGCCCTATTAGAGAAAGAAATAGAGAGAGTGAGAGAGATGAGAGGGGCATGGAGGGGGGAGGGAGAGAGAGAGAGAGAAAGAGAGAGGTCAAATCTACTAAAATAAGGTAGAGACCCCCCCTATTTATAGGCCTCAAGGGCTAGGAGTCCAGTCCTATTTGGAGTTTAACATTATCTAGAATTTTATTAGGTCATTTATGACGTGAGAGAGAAGAATTCATCTGAGCATTCATCTCCAAGTTCAGCCATTATGATCTAGAGTGAATCTATACGAACCTTATCCCCTGAGATTTGACCCATATCCACTTCTAATCTATCTAGGACTATGACCAGACAATTCTTATCCTCCAAAATTATCTAGAACAATCTAGGATAATCTAGAAATCCTATTCTCTCACAAAGAGATACTTACAAATTCAAATTAATTCAAACTTGGTCAAAAACAACTAGATAATTAGAAAATCACCAAGATAATCTCTTAAAGAATATTTTTCAATCAAATAATATTTCACTAAGAAAATATTCACATCATAATATATATGTGCCACTTAAAAATGGGCCATCCCAGAGAGAGGGACATGTGGCTCCTAGTGGCCCTCACGTGACGTCCTCTAGTGGGCCCCACACGTGTCGGGCTGGGCCCATAGCCCTCCACGTGTGCCCCACCAATCTTTTGAAAATTTCCCGAATGGCCCCATAATTTTCAAATTCCAGAAATACCTTTTCAGGGTTTTTACATATTTTAAATCATTTTTAAAATTATGAAAAATTCCCAAAATGCATGTAACGCATTTTTAATTGAAAACAATATTTCTGGAGTTTCCTACAAATTAACACACACAGAAGCACAACTTAGAAGGGGATAGGTACCTTATGGGTAAAAAAACAATCAATATCAGGGCACCGCACCAGTGCCAGGATCCATGATCTACTAATGTCTTCTCAAACTAACACAATGGGACCTATAACCCACAATCAAGTGCAGGGGCACATAATTGGCCGATCAAAGTCAGTTAATAAACAATAGGACCATAGTCCCAATACATGAACTACAGGTTCCCCCTTAAAAGGAAGTCAGAAGCACATACAATGCAAGGGGGCGCTCTCTCTATGCATATGTACATGTGTCCCTCGATATAGGGTTACTTCCCAAATGCGATTGTCATATGTACAAGCCTCACGGAAGTTTTGTTGATGATTTGGCCCTAACTCTAACAGACGTTCTGCGCAAAGGAGACCACACAGTTCTCCTGGATTACAAACATCCCTGGACATCTCTTTGTCATCAATAAGGGATAACCCACAATAGACCCTGAATGGTAGCACCACATGCCCAGGGGTAAGGGTTTTGGACATAACCCAGGCCATACGCTACCTAATCTTAAGTCAATCAACCATAGTACACTCCCGCAGAAGTGCACAAATCACTATAAAAGATTTTATATACAAGCTCTCTAGATCTTTAAAGGTCACAAAATCCAACACCAACTTAAGGTGAAAGATATGAGAGAAGCATCCTATGTCTCAGAAATAAAGATAACTACAGATAGATAAGTCTAGAATGTTTTGTTCAATCAACAAAGAAATCTTGACACCCTTCTTAAGAGGTGTAGGTAGTTTAGGGTATTCCAACATAATATATTAGGCACATCTAAGTCATATTGTAGTCATTGTCAATAAATATCAAGGTAATCATGGCATAGCCCATTACAAAGCCACAAAGGAATTAAGGTACATTAAAGGAACAAGCATTTGAAGTCATATTTTCCAACAGACAAGCTTGAAGTTATGGGATATTCCCTTTCCTAAAAGTTAATATTCTAAAAAAAAAGTACTGGGATATTTTGATGCCAATTTTGCTAGGGATAAAGACAACAACAAATGAGCATATTTTTCCTCATTGGAGGTACAACTATTTCTTAGTCTAGCAAAAAACATCAAGGCACATGAAGCAGAATAAAGTGCTCGAAGCATGACTTCTACTTATGCCATCTGGATAAAGTGCTTCATAAATAACTTGAGTACACAGTTATTTCTAAAGGGAAATTTAAGGAGAAAGCCCATTTTATTATGCGAATTTAAAGTTAGATCACTCTATTTCACTTTTTCAAATTTTACACTCCATTCCCTCTTTCGAAATCTTAATTTCGCTTTTGTTTATACATCGGATTAAGCTCAAATTTTAGACATCCATTCTTCCCACCATCATGCACCTGTAGTACATATATAAATAATATTTCAATCAGAAAAATGATGAAAATACCCCTATAATTTTAAGGGATATTTTGATTATTTTATTTCTTTCATATTACTTTTTTGTATTTTTTACGAGTGTGTCACAATGATATTTATGTATGCTCAAAACTTGAGCTTAATTCATCATCATCATCATCATCATAGCATTTTCCTAATTAATTGGAGTCGGCTACACGAAACATGATCTGCCATTCTGCTCAATTAAGGGTCATACTTTCAAGGCCATAAGACCCCATATCTTTTCTCATTACTTCCAACCACATCCTTTTGGGTCTACCCCTTGTCCTTTTTCGAGCTTTCTACTTGAACTAACTTGCACATCCTAACAAGTGTTGTACTGGGTCAACGCCACACATGGCCAACCCACCTAAGTCTACTCTTTCTCATCTTATCGCCTATCGGTGCCACACCTAAATTTCCCGAATGGATTCATTTCGAATTCTATCGCTTATTGTCTTGCCACTCATCCATCTCAATATCCTCGCTTGCCCCACTCATTCTGAGTATATTGATTTTGTCTGCCCAATATTTTGCTCCATAGAGCAAAGCTAGTTTCACAACTATCCTATAGAACTTACCCTTTAGCTGCATTGGTATGCGGCGATCACATAAAATTTCGGTTGCACATCTCCATGTTGCCCACCCAGCTTTAATTCTGTTTGCAATATCTTTTTCAATCTCTTCATTTTCCAGGATTATCGACCAAAAAAAAAAAAATTGTGTTTAATCCAATTTATAAATAAATAAATAATTTTAAATGACAATATGCACTCTCGAAAAGTGGGACTACAGCGTAAACTATAAATTTTAGGGGCTTTATATTCTGAAAATAAAATGGGATTCTTCTATAAATTTCCCTTTCTTAAAGTAGTTTTGGATAATAGCCGTGTTCAAAGGTTCAAAGGATGAGAGAGAAGAAGCATAAGCCATGTTCTTCTTGGGGGGGCGATTTTCTCTTAGACTCAACTTTTATATTACGGAGATAATAGAGAGGATTCCACATATGAAACATTGTTCATACTCTTTTTCCTCTCTAAAAGGAAGTTAATTGAAAACTCTAGGCTACTATGATCCTCAATCTCATGACATTCCTTCTCAGTTTTGTTGGTTGATGCTAATCTTCGCTTTTTGTTTTCACTGATCTACTCTCCAGGGAAAGAATTGGACACTAAGCATGTTAATGGTAGTTCACAACTTATCACGCTCCTACTCTTTCATGGTATCACAAAAAAAATTAGAAGTGTGTGATATAAATATCATGTTTAATAATCCAGAAATCCATCTTTATTACGATATTCATTCACTCCAATGTAGAGGTAGGTCAAAAAAGTAATCCCTAATCAGATGACATACAAAGGCATACTAGTCATGTGGAATGTTGTCATGAAGAAGCTACAGATCAAAATTAGACTGACTGCTTATAAGTACTATTAGACATTCTATGGTTTACTCACCTGTCAAGTATGTCTGGCTTCCACTATTTATTAATATGTGGAGTCACTCCCACTGGAGTCTCTTGTAGTGAGGTAATAAGACTTTCTTTGAAGTAAAAATAAGCAACCTAGAGAAGAGATGAAGTCTACCAATAATTTCCTATAACAATATTCTATAAGCTTTGTGAAGTGAGAATATAAAACCCCATGGAAAAAATCCTGTGTTTACCCCAATTTATTAATGCATGCTCCAAAAATTTTCAACCGAAATAATGATAAAATCATTTTTTCAGTCATTAAGGAGTTCAATAAGACTCTTGCCATTAAATGCAATAATCACACTTATCCACATATATAACCAACATAATAAACAAGTATGATCTAGAACAAACAAGAAAAATAATATTATTAAAATCAGTCTGTCAAAGTCAATGACAACGTCAGCATATCTAGAACAATCTAATCACGTCCTTGATTCTGATTTGAACCTATACGTATCCTTGTGAAGGAAAGGAAACCATTGCTGAAACATGTAACTGTGGACTAGATGTCTTATGCACAGCACTGTTGAAGCATTCTAGAGCATTGCATCTTAGATCCTTTCATATGCAACTAGTATATTCAAAAGCTAGATATTTGCCTTGTGCACACTAACAGAAGTCTAATAGAACAGAGTAATTTAAAGATAGACTGCTTACCTGATACAGGCAATATTTGCCTTGTGCACACTAACAGAAGTCTAATAGAACAGAGTAATTTAAAGATAGACTGCTTACCTGATACAGGCAATATGAAATGAGCAATAAAACTGCAACAACAAGGGAAACCAAAATTGCTACACGTTTCCATGAAGTTGAATGCAAAATTGTTGGTAATTGCACAATAATGAACGGGATTATTGATAGAACCATAATCCTAGCAGCCATACTAGTTGAACGGTCAGTGGTAATACCAGATCCTGCAAATAGAATGAAAAAAGTCAATTGAGATATTTATACCTTATGAGACGCATGCTAACTACAAGACAAGCAATGCCCACAAACTCAACTAGTTTAATTTTGAATCAAGTTCCATCCTTGCATGAATAGCATTCCGCAAAATGGCTCTGCCAGCAAAAGGGCACGCAGATGAAAAACGATTCACCTATCAATGTCATATTTGTTATATTAAATCCATTTAGGCATTCAAAAAATACAAAGTCATGCAATATCAAACAAGCGATAATGGAATCAGTTGTACACTACGAAAACCATTTATAAGGGCCTGAAACTTGTGATTGTCAAAAGAATATGAATATACGACATTACGACTACGATGAACAACATAAATGAAGATAAATAACCAGGAAGTTCAATGAACTTGTGTCATTAAAAACACATTTAAAACTCAGAAAGACTCAATGAGTCAACCTGACCCCACCAGTTGCCAAATTTTACAAGTGAAAAACTCACATGTACGTGAGGTTTTGGTATATACAAGTGTTGTTTTGGCATGCAAAAGGTATTCAGCCCAGTGGTAGGCATGAGGATTTGACTAGTGCTCCACCTATCTTTACGTCTCCCCATGGATGATTTTGTTTCTATTTTAACATTTTTAAGATTTGGAAAACTTGCCCGAGCTTTTGCGTGTTAACCCTTTGACTCTAAGCGTCAACTTATTGGGCAATGAATGAGCTGGCCGAGTTTTTACATTTTGAAGACTACGAAGGAGTATTCATAGGATGATTATGCTTCCACAGCTAATTCAACAACTTCTGGATCATCCTCTGATGCTCGTCCAGCATATGTTACAAATATGTAACATTTGCGGCCGCTTTGCTAGATATAAACATGTTACAGACTGCAACATCAAGAAGCATGTTTTCTCTTTAAAATTTGCAGCTTCTTTCAAAGATGCTTTACTCTATGGATAAAGTCAAAATTTGCAGCTTTCTTGTTAGTTATTTCTACTTCTCCCAAAGTGAACATGTCATGGAGTATAGACCTCCTAGTTATTTGACAGATCTTAGAATTCTATCATACTGTCACTCATCATCAGTTAGCATAAAAAAGATTTACAGGACTAAAATACAAAAAAATCCTAACCATTAACTCATACAAATGATTAGAAGCCGATTCATGAAGGCCCTAGAGTTGAATGTGATCAACCTCGATCATAGGTCCAACGCTTTCTCAGTGATTACTGCTTGGCCTTGTATGGCACTCAGGAGCACATCACATCCTTGCCTGATTCATATCCCCCTAATGGTACGCCCTCTCTCCACCTTGCAAGGGATTATATAAATCCTGGCTCCATGATACTGATATATCATCTAAGGCTCTAAGCATCCATCATTTTAGACCTTAGAATTAATTGTACACTGCATCTATTTGGACTATTTTTTTCTCTAGATTAAATTGCATTGGTGGGGACACTTCATCTATTCACTGAAATACCAACTTCCAAAGAAGCCACAGTCACTAGATATTGTTTTCACTAATCACACAGTGAAATCACTACATGAATTTTGATTTCTGTTAGGATTGAGAGAGAAGAGAGAGCGTATACTCAAGCACAAGAGAAAGAAAATATTGATGTCTTTTTTCACTCTTTACAAATCATGGGGCAATGTGCCCTATGCGTACACAGATCCCTAATCATTATGCATGAACGTTACATGACTGTTACAGCCTGTTATGCATGACTGCTATAACAAGAAATGCATGATTGTTACATCAATAATCCATAATAATTATAGGCTTAATGGGCGTAGGGCCCAATAATAGTCACTAGACTCCCCCTCAAGCCGGAGCAAATATATCATAGATGCCCAACTTATCCAAAGTATCCTTTAGTCGAACTCAATCTGAGGCCTTAGTAAGTATGTGTTCAAACAAATGGAGTACTTATTGATTCTCTGATCGAACAAATGGAGTACTTATTGTCTAATCAAGGACCAAAGTGCTGAAAAATGTGTTCAAACAACTTGCCCCGCCGAATGTTTGTGCTTCAAGAGAATCGAGAAGGACAACATTCGGAAATTTCCTCGGCTCTTACTTTATTTTCTTCCTAGCCACAGGACCATGTGAACACCGGGGAAATATTCACGCAATGGTGTGACTAGGCTGCTCAGATGTAGGGATGCATTGTTCGCGGGTCCGTCCGTGGAAACTTTGAGGGAAGAAGAGACTTTTTTGAGGGATCTTTTCGAAGTCCTCACCCTCTTGGACTATTTGTGATTCTGAAGCTGAGGATTTTGTACAGACCTCGTCAATCAGAATCAAGCCCGTCTGGCAATTGAGTGCCATGTCGAAGGGAATTGTTTCCATTAGGTCTAGGTTTGTTTGTTTTGGTAAGACAGCAAAAGAGCCTTTAGTCGGCATTCGTCTGCGTCGTGCACCAATTGCTCCTTGGCGGGTAGGGTGCCTCAGTTTATCAAGGTGACTAGCTTTGGTTACCACTTTGTGCAGGTCGTTACATAGCAGGTCCAAGGTCATGGCTGACCAATTATTCTCTAGCGAGTAGGGTATCTCAGTTTATCGAGATGACCAGCTCTGGGCACAACTACCCTTACTCACTGTTGTGCAGGTCGTTACATAGCACGTCCAAAGTCATGGCCGACTTAGCCTTCTTGGAGCGTCTTTTGGTTTGTCAAAATGATTTCCTTGATGGTTTGCTAAAGAACCTTTGGTCAGCACTGTTTGCTGCTACACCAGGTTTGCTTTTGACAATCAGAGTACCACTGTAGGTCTCGTCTGCCGGGTCCAGTCGGGAGCATTGTGTTGGCCTGTCCCGAAGGTTTGGTCTTGTCGGTGAGACGAGCTGAAGTCTTTGGCAGGTTTGTCCTGGCTTTGCAGCTTTTTGCCTTCGTGGTGATCTTTAAAATGTGTTTGTGACCTCGTAGGAATAGTGTCCTTCCTCATGAGACTTGTCTTGCCATCTTGGTGAATCTTTTGTCTTTCGAGTTCTTTTTGCAATTGAACTCAAGCTGTCGGAATCTTTTCCTTGAAGCTCATATTTTGGGTCCTGGCATTGATGGGCGGCAGTCTCAAGGCGGCCGCCTAAGCAGCACGGAACCCACCTATGGCGGTCGCCCAGGGCCTGCACGCCGCCAAGGAGGTACAAAACCCACCTAGGCGGGCGCCCCGCCCAAAGGCGGAATTTTTTTTTTTGTATTGATTTTTCTTTAAAATATAAAGGGTTAGAAGGATGGTTTTAGATTCATTTGAAACCTAGAACTTATTGGAACCCATTTTAGAGAGAGAAAGCCTCCAAAAAACTAGTTTTTGGTGATTTCTTTAGGATCGAAGGGTTTCTCAAAGTTGACAAAAATTGATCAAAACATCACTTCTTGATATTAGATTTATTTTTTGATGTTTTATAAATCTATTTGGGGGGTTTTTTAGAAGATTTTGAGTCCTTAGAAGCATCTTTGAGGTGGAAGTTTGAAGATTGAGCAATCAAACTCAAAGTAAGTGCCCTAAATACCTAATTTTTATTTTTTATATAATATATCTTTTTTTTATTCAAATGGACATCTTTTTTGGATTCGACTGGATTGCCCAAGTTCTGGGCGCCCGCCTAGGAGCTGGGCGACCTGGACCCCCCAGGCCGCGTAGGACCCGCCTAGCATTTTTTGAAACACTGTGAATAAGAGAATGGGGCCAAATTATTTCATGTAGCACTTGTCATTGCTCTATACTCAGCTACTGCAGAAGATCGAGCTACAACTCTGCTTCTTACTCTTCCAGGTGACTAAATTACAAACCACTGTCATAGAATAGCCATTGGATCGTCAATCAAGAGAACGCCCAGGCCAATCTGCATCGCAAAAACCTTGTACATCAAGAAGACCATGACTAGTATAAAGTAGCCTTCTCCATGGAGCATATTTCAACTACCATAAAATGCGATAAACAACATCCACATGATGGGTGCATGGTGCGTGCATAAACTAACTTGCCATGATTACAGCACAAGTAATGTCTGGACATGTAACAGTCAAATAAATAAGTCTACCCACTAATCTTTAACATACACTAGGGTTACTCAGAGGCTCTGACTGCTGATCATACAATTTGTGGTTAACCTCAATCGGCGATTTTGTTGGTTTGGCTCCAAGCATTCTTGTGTCATTGAGGAGATCGAGAGTATATTTTCTTTGAGACAAAAAATTCGTTGTTTAGACCTAGCCACCTCTATTCTAAGGAAATATTTCAATGGACCAAGATCCTTGATGTCAAAAACAGCCACTAAAAAATCTTTCACTTTTTGAATCTCGCGATCATTACTAGAAAACGAATCTCTTTTCCAAGAGTGAGGTTTGTATAAGGTTGAGGTTCTAAACAATCAAAGTAAGGCGCACCTTCAAATAGTGCAGAAATATGATGTTTTAGTATTAAAAATATTTATAATGGCCTGAAAAAATATTTTCATCTCTAATTATAAATTTTAAGGATTCAAACATAGTGTAGATTGAGCAAATCTATGAACACTTGAAAATCTTAAAAATTGACAATTTAGATAATACATTACAAGATGCACTGTTTCCAAAAGTTGAAATCTATTTTTCTCATGAACATCAACTTGAGGTCGAGATGATCAAATTGAAGGTTTTTCAGCATCAAAACAACCACTTCTAGTGAATTTTTAAGGTGCGCGTTAATTTGATGGTTTAGGGCCTCACCCTTATATAAATTTTTCCTTTAACAAATATAGAATTATCTGTAACACTTCTCTGAATCCCAACTGACATACTGCCATATTGAACTTTTTTGAACCAAGCGAGATGTGCCTCAAGAGGACTCACTCATGACTTCAAGACTTAGAACTGAGAGCACTAGAAGTCTATCCCGTGTGGAATAGGTGCAGCCCATTGTCTTCATGACCAGCACCAATCGTCTTCCTCGTTTTCAGGTCCTGAAAAACTTGAAAACACAATGGAGGGGTAAAATGTGACAATGCAGTTTAGTTGTTTTGTCGAGTTGCTAACAGAAAGAAGATTGGAAGGAAAAGAAGATACATGTATTACAAAAGGTAAGGACAAGGATGATGAGAGTTTATATACACCACTTGTAAAGGCACTGGTCATGGATCCATAAGAAGTTTAACTTCACTAGAAGCGAGAGGAAAAAATTAAAAACCAACTTTCTTATCGGCATATGGCCAGTAGCCCCTGAATCAATGATCCAAGGTGTAGAAGAGCTGGAGTTGGAAGCATCGCTTACAGTTGCATATGTACCTAGTTGCTCTACTGGGGTCAAAGAGCTGAATGAATCCATGGGAAGCAGTCAACTAGTGTTGTAAATCTTTGATAACCTGATCTCTTAGATCTGATACATAGTATGTGTGGCTGAGGTTTCCTCCCCCTGGCTCAATACAGCATGGCACTTGCATTTTTTGGATTCGGTCTCAACTATGGATGAAAGTCCCAACAGTGCTCTCAGGTGTGTCTCCTCTTACCACAATGAGAGCATTTGAGTTTCTCCTATTCGATAAGAGAAAGTGGGGCACAATTTTTTCCTTTCGTACCCACACTTTCTTGCTTGGAGCTTGTTGCAAAAGTTAATCGTTCAGGATGGATCTTGAGTGTTGTCCTTCTGCAATAGCCTTTCTACTAGCCTCCCCTTTAATATAATTTTAAAATGATTCAAGAGAGGGTAATTTGTACTTTCCTAGAACTTGTACTCTCTAAAGTTCAAAGTCAGGATGTAAGCCTGCTAAGGACTCAAAGATCCTTCATTGCTTGGCCTGTTTTTTATTGTCATCAACAATGGGATAAAGAAGGGTTGTGTTAGGTAGAGCAGCCAGCGTAAAACTTGACAACATCATTTCATGAAGCCGATTCCAAATAGTTGTGATAAGGCTCGAACTAGAAACCCTAATGCCTTCTTCCAAGGTACTAATTCCTTAGTTTCAAATATGAGGTTGCTGGAAATGTAAGGCTGCTAGAAATACAAGGTTGCTGGAAATATGATGTTGCTGGAAATATGAGGTTGCTTAAAAAGAAAGGAATTTGGTATAAAAAGTTACTTATCGGTAGAGGAAAGCAAGATGATATTGCTAGAAAATACAAGGTTACTGATACACCACAGCTTCAAGCCCAAGACGGAAGAAAAATCATGATTTTAGAATCATAGTATGTATAGGATATCCTAGGGTTCCAAGTTTGGCCCTGATACCATGTTAAGATTGAGAAAGAAGGGACAGAAAGTAATACTCAAGCGCAAGAGAGAGAAAAATATAGATGTATTTTTTCACTCTCTACAAATTGTGGGGCAATGTGCCCTATATATGCACAAATCCCTATGGGAGTTACAATACAAGTAGGCAACATGCATAGGACTTGCAACCATTATGCATGATTGTTACAGCCCATTATGCATGACTGTTATTGTTACAGCAAGAAATGAATGACTGCTACAGCAAGAATCCAAAATAATTATTGTAGGTTTCATTGGCATGAGGCCCATAATAGTCACTACAACTTTGACTTCATAGAAGTAAATATATGGATAATTCTGAAATGAAATAAACAAAAGAAGCCCAAACATACCTTAATTAAACTAGACAAAGAAATAAATGGAACACGAACTTGTGACAAGTCATCTAACTTGAAAATAACACCTAGAACACAAGGGACCACAAGTCCATTGAGGTCAGGACTGATCACCAAATTCTCAGGTGCAACGGTGATTAGTGCTTCATTTCTGTTTGTAGTTTCTTCTTTCCAGTTCCAAGAGAATATCAAAATACAATTCTTCAGTGTTTCGAGACTCGCCCGAGGCGACTTAGACTCGGGCGAGTTACTTGGCGAGGCCAAGTAGGGATTTAAATGGCATTTAAGTATGCCCTTTCTATTACAAATAGCATTTAAATGGATATTTAGTTATCATGTACAGGTTATACACTTCACATCCAAGGATCGAAACCCCTCAGATGCTGCTGCCCAACCCTTTTTCTATAAAAAAATAAAATAAAAGGGTCATTACGGGGTCAAAAATAACATTTGTCGGCTTTGCTTGGTGAGAGGAATGGTACCCCAAACCTCATGCCAAAGAGATCGTGAGGTCTAACCATTGCGCCATTGCAATCTTTTTGTTTATGTTTAGTACATTATATGTATATATAAATAATTAGTTTTTTGTTTTTCTATTATTTTTAAAATTGTACACGACTCAGGCAAGTTAATCTCACTCGGCCGAGTAACTCGCCTCGGCCAAGGTTCGAGTACCTTGGTCAAGTACTGTCACAATACACTATAATTTTTAATCAAAACCTAAACAATGCAGCTAAAAACATTTTGCTTTTATCTTTTTGCATCCTCATTCCAGATTCCTAGAGCCGAACAAGTTATACATCAAGATAAAAGGTATCATCAATGATAAAATAAAACAATTCCTTAAAATATAAAGGCATAAAAGATTATGTAGGCAGCCCGTTTCATAATTATTTGTCACAGACTAAGCAAAACATGCATTCCCAGAAACACCACACAGTTAAAATCAGTAAAAAATAGTAACAATACGGTCCAAGCACAATAGATTATCATTCAAGATTTTAACTGAAACCAATAGGACAATATTAGGGACAAAACAAACCGATAAGGCTAAATCGTTTTGTATCTTGTTGATCAATTGCTGTCGATCTTTCTGAAAGATCACATTTCCCCAAAACAATACAAGAACCCCACAATAGTGTCAATAACATGACTGTCGAGCCGGAAAGCAAGCCCATTCCAATCAACACTTGCTTCTGAGCAGTTTCTGTACTTCCTGAGAGCCCAGATACTGCATAAACACAAAAAAGTGGTGAATATCATCCATAGGAACAGAATTGTCAAAATTTTAACTTGATGATGAATAAATTCACATATACTACTAATACAACCATGTTTAACAAAAAAAGTGAAAGAATAAATCTACTCTGGCAAGTAATCGGACGTGGAAATAATAATACACTTATTTTAAGGCACGAAAACCATTGTATGATGACAGAGCAACATAGTATAAATGGGTTTGAGAACTCAAGCTTAAATTCACTTAAGTGAAAATTTATAAATGGTAAAAAAGTTGAGGAGAAAAAAGATAAACTTTTTGAAATATGAAAGTTTAAGACCCATTTGGTGTACTATTTGTAATTATTGTCATTTTCATACGTCAAAATCTTTCCTTATTGAAGTTTTATATTATCTAAAAAAGTGATCATACTTAACTCCTATATGTAGAGGAAATGATAAGAATCCCATCATCAAATAGAATTTAAGGATTCAATAGGTAGCATTTCTAGTACCTAAGAATTCTTCATTCATACGATGCACCAGGGTTTCGTCTATGATTGAATATGCTCTGTGAAATTTATTTCACATGCTTTTACATGTATGTGCATCACTCGAATTTATTCCAAACTGTACCACAAGAAGTTTCATTGCACGTGTGTGAAATGTGTTCTGAGGCTTCATCTCACCAATTCAAAAAAAACAAGAGGGATCTCACAAAAGAAAGAGAATATTAGAAAAGATAATCTCGGAACATAATCAATCAACATGAGATGTGCTCTGAGGCTTCATCCCACCAATTCAAGAAAACAAAGGAATCTCTTAAAAGAAAGAGAAAAATTGAAAAGATAATCTCGGAACAGAATTAGTCAACAAGAGTGTCAGTGTTTTAACACGTACTAAGAGTGTCTAGTGCTTCATGTAAAAATAAAATACGGCTAGACACATTTGTTCAAATTTTTTTATAGTTAAATATTAAGGCATATGTAAAATTACTAAGATTTTCCATAAAGTTATTGTTTCTATAATGGTAAAACACACCGCTGCTTTACAAAGGTGATTAGAGTTCAAGCCTTGAGGATTGCATTTTACTTTTTTTCATACTGAACAGCATTTGCAATCTCATATTAATATTTGTTAGCGCATCAAGTACAAATAAATGCCACCATAGAGGTGGCAGCTATTACTCCACATCATCATCATTATCATCCAAACCTTTACTCAATGATTTGGGGTCAGCTACATAAATCTTGTTCTTCCATTCCTCTCTATGAAGGGCCATACCCTCAGTAAGACCAAAAGTCACTATAGTTTTTCACTACTTCTATCAATGTCCTTTTGGGCTTTCCCCTTACCCTTCTAGAGCCTTCCACTTGAACCAAATCGCACCTCCTAACCAGTGTTGTACTAGGTCTACGTTGCACATGGCCAGCCCACCTAAGTCATCTTATCGCCTATTGAAGCCCTCGTATATAATTGTTTTGAATTCTATCATTTCTTATCCTACCACTCATCCATCTCAATGTCCTCATCTCAGCTATGCTCATCCTATGGACATGTTGTTTCTTGACCGCCCAATGTTTTGTCCCATAAAGTATGGTTGTGCTTATAGTCGTCTTATAAAACTTCCCCTTCAGTCTCAATGCTACGCAGAGATCACATAAAACTCTGGACGCATATCTCCACTTTGCCCACCGAGCTTTAATTTTATGTGTGACATCTTCCTCGATCTCATCATTCTCTTGGATTATCCACCTTAGATATCGACAACAGTCTCTTTTAGGTAATTTTTTTATCATCAATCTTAACTACTTCCTTGTTCTTACTCCTATTATTACTAAATTTGCATTTTATATATTTTATCTTAGTCCAACTGACTTTAAAACCTTTAGATTCTAGAGCATCCCTCCAACGTTCTTACTTTGTGTTGACATTGCCTCTAGCATCATTGATCAAAACTATGTCATCCATGAACAACATACACCACAGTACCTCATCTCGCAAGTGTCTGGTTAACTCATCCATAATCAAATAAAAGTGATATGGGCTGAATGCTAACCTCTGATGTAGGCCCATTGTCACTTAGAACTCACTTGTCGCTCCATTAGTTGTGTGCACACTAGTTAGCGCTCCCTCGTACATATTCTCACTATGTTAGTATATCATCTGGTGACTCTTTTCTTTTCCAACATCTACCAAATTAAATCTCTAGGTACCCTATCATATGCTCTCTTTAAATCAATAAAGACAATATGAAGGCCTTTCTCCTTTGCCTAAACCTTCTCAATCAGTTGCTTAAGTAAGAAAATGGCTTTGATAGTTGACTTGCCTAGCATAAAACTTAACGGATTTCCTTATACACTTGTTTCATGCCTTAGTCATTATTCAACCAATCTCTCCCATAGCTTCATAGTGTGGCTCATAAGTTTAATCCCTCCAATAGTTCGTATCATTTTGTACGTCTCCTTTGTTCTTACAAATAGGTACCACAATACTTTTTCTCTATTTGTCTAACATTTTCTTTGTTCTCAACAACACCTTGTTGACCAGCTTGGTTAGCCAGCATATGCCAATCTCTCCAATGCACTTCCAAACCGCTATTGGGATACCATCTGGTCTTAAAGCATTTCCTATCTTCATCTTTATCAAAGATTATTTCCCTTCAGCTATCCTAATCCTACAAATATAACTATGACATCAGCACTCATTTATGGCAGCTATTACAATCCTTCTTAAATCAATCATGGGTTCTCAACTTGGGGCTGACAATTATTTTTACGACTTAAATTTCATATTAAAAAAAATAGAACATGTATAGATTTCATACTAAAAAGGCTTAAAAAAAATTGCGCTCATATAACTCTGGGTCACCACGGGCCCATGATAGCTAAAACATCTATGTCCACTCTAAAATACATAATCTTAGTCTTTAATTGTATGCACGACACTTTTATATAAGGTGTTGATACATACTAAAAGCACTAAAATCAATGTGTAGGAGTTGTGACTACACCTATCAACATGTGTCTAAGTGTCGACATGTATCAACACCTGACACAATAGAGAAGTTGAAGTACTCAGGGAACATTGAAAAGAATACAAGGGCATTGTTAGGAAGGAGGAGAGTTGTATATGGTAAAGATTGATATCCAGCCCATGACTCTAAACATCAAGACCAGAACGTCTCCTACCTTCTTTATTGATGTAGAACGCCCCAAATGACAGCCTTAATATATGCTGCTTCATGCCACCCAAAGGCCCCACATCACCATGGCTTTTGGTATAATGGAAGAACAACATCCATAGTTACCGCACTAGAGCATTGAATTTTGTTTTTCCTCAAATAAAGTGCCATTACATTTTATAGATAACTTTATTTGTACAGTTTATTTTGTTGCTAACTAGAATCAGTCACTGTATCCACATGTCATGATCTAACGTTCTGTGCTCCATGCAATCCGTAGTTCAATTTTACATCACATGCTTGTCTTTGAGGAACAGTTCCAATTTCCAGGCAAATCAACAACTTCATCTTTAATAGAATACTTAACAACTAGTTTCTCTTTTTTTTTCCTTTTTACTATTGAGAAGGTCCTAATCTGCAAAAAATATCAGAAATATCAATTACATAGTTACAGAATAATACGCTTGGAATTACATTTGAGAATTTGTGTCAATCTTGTAGGTTTTATCGTCAAATCAAGCTCAATGATTAAATCTCACAGAATACTAATTAATAATATTAACACTTGACTAGAGGAGTTGATCGTATCGAACTTCCCCAGCAACCTTTGTTCTAATGCTTTAGTTCCAAAACTAAAGTTCTTGAACCATAACCATATGACATCCACAATGGACTCCAAAACTCAACTTCAAAGCTTCCTTGAGAAATTGAAGAAAATTTATTTCCAAATCAAAATAGAATTCCCAAAGAAGGTCAGATTAAGATCAATTCTCATTAGAAAGCCGGCAACACAAGAAATTAACCAAAAGAGGGAGTTAAAAAGAAATTTAAGGCTGATTTCTCTCATTGAGCTAAAACGTGCGCACACAAAAAATCCAATCCATAATTCTACCAATCCGAAATAGTTCATTTCTCAGATGTATTAACGATCAAGCAAAGCATCCATAGAGCAATCGTAAACAAAGTAATCGAATGAATTAAAGCAATAATAAATGGAAAAGAGCAGCAACTATAAAGATAACCAGACACAGAGAGATCATGAAATTTAGAGCGATGGTATAACAAAGAACAGCGCAGAGCAGAGAGAGAGGATTGACCAAACGTAAACCAAAGTAGTCATAAGAATAAACAAAACAGAGGGTTGAGAGAGAGAGAGTAAACCAAAGTAGTCATAAGAAATAAAGCAATCGCGAATAAACAAAACAGAGGGTCGAGAGAGAGAGTACACCTAGAATAAGGATGGCATCAGGAAGAGCACCGAGAATTGGCAGAAAGAGGCCACCAACAATACCAGGGCCAAGCACCTCAAGAAGAAGCTCACTTCCAGTAGAGAGATAAGTAGCTCCCAAAAACATGAGGTAGCCATACACGATCACAAGAAACAGGTTTCCAAGCACTGTAGAAGTACAGGGAAGGAAGCCATAAGTTTGCTCACAAGTTTCAGAGGTCGCAGATTTCCCCTTCAAAACCAGCAGAGAAGACCAAGAAGAAGAGGAAGAGGCGCCATCAGAGATCAGATCTGAGTTCTCGGTAGAAAACAATCGGCACTCAGAGATGGCGAGAGCGAGAAAGAGAAGAGTGAGAAAGAAGACGGAAGAGCTACCGAATCTCGGCATGGTAGATTAGCCTTAGCAAAACGAGAGAAGTGGAAACTACGAATCAGGGTGCGAGTATATGATAGCGAGATCGATCGGGGATAGGGGGATGGATTCGTGCAGGATGGTACAGAACGCTTGCACGGTTGGTTTACTGTCGAGGGCGCACTAAGTGTTGCGTTTGAAAATTCTGCTGAAATGGTTGTTTCATGCGAGCTGGACAGCATGTGTACAATATGCGGTTCAGAGGTATAAAACACCCATTTGGACGCATATAGGTGGTCCATTTAAATATCAATTGTAACTAAAGGTCCATATTTTTTTTTTTATATATATTTA